AATCCATGATCGAATTTTTTGTAATCCATGATCGAAGTGTTTGTTTTTTTTCTTGTAATCCATGATAGAATTTTTTGTTTTGTTTTTTTTTTATTAACCCATGATAGAATTTTTTGTAATCCATGATCGAATGTTTTGTAATACATGATCGAAATGTTTGTTTTTTTTTGTAATCCATGATCGAAATGTTTGTTTTTTTTTTGTAATCCATGATTGAATTTCTTGTTTTTTGCTTTTTTTTTAACCCATGATAGCGTTTTTTGTAATCCATGATTGAATTTTTTGTAATCCATGATCGAATTGTTTTTTTCTTTTTTTGTAATCCACGATTAAATTTTTTGTTTTTTTATGTTTGTTTTTTTTTGTAATCCATGATCGAATTTTATGTAATCCATGATCGAATTTTATCGAATTTTATGTAATCCATGATCGAATTTTATGTAATCCATGATCGAATTTTTTGTAATCCATGATTGAATTTTTTGAAAATTTGTGATTTTTTTTTTTAATCCATGATCGAATTTGTTTTTGTAATCCATGATAGAATTTTTTAAAAATTTGTGATTTTTTTTTTTTATCCATGATCGATTTTTTTGAAAATTTGTTTTTTTTTTTTTTTAATCCATATTATTCAAAGAGAAAATGAGAGAGATGATGATTCTGAGGCCACCCTATCTCAGCCATATTATTCACATATCGAGTCCCAACGGCAATAGTGTAGGGATGAACACGACAATGCAGGTGAGCATAAAAGATGGACAATCTTCGGGGATTTTAGATTGGGAACACAACAGGGATTTGGAAATAGTCAAACGCTGCTAATATCGATGATTCGTTTTTAGATCGAATCAATGAATTGTTAAACGAATTCAATCAATGGCACCAGCGTGACCAAGAAGAACAATAACGTCATCTATCATTTTATTTTTAGATCATATGTTACTAATTTTATGCTTTATTGTAGTCCATGTATGTTGATATACTTATTCCATGATAATTATATGTTTATCCTTTTGCGTGATGTAAATTAAAAGCTGAATGGCAGTTCATGCAGGGAAAGAACATATCAATATTCGCATATTCATTCAAAAACATGAAAATTCTTAATGGAGTACCCTCATTTCTTATTGAATTCCTAAAAAACAATATTTATAATAAATTTTAATAATTTTTTCGGATTTTTTTTAAGCTTTATTCTGACCGATTCACCCGATTCCCGATCCGGATCGCCGATTCACCGATCCGGATCGATTTTTTGGAAGCCCGATCCGGGTCACCGATCCGTTTTTTAAACCATTGGTTGTAAGTAGTTATATATTACAATATATAATTGAAATATATTATATTATTATAATAATATTATAATATGATATTATATTAATAATATTATAAGCTATTGTATACGGTGAGACCATTTACCGTGATTACAAAGATGTGAAATCCGATAGCTTGGGTGCATCATAAAGTTTGAAAAAATTTATTTTGAACTTTGATTTTGGTCAATGACTCAATTTCACATCCAATGGTCAAGATTAATTCTGATCACCTTATACTAAAGGTAAATGATCTTTTTATATACTTTCCCAAATTATAATAATAAAATAAAGAAAATGGTTTGATAGGGCTAAAGCCCTATCAAAATAAGTAAAGCCTCGTCTCATAACTCATCGAAAATTGCAATTTAAGCATTGAAAAAAAATTACAGCAATCATCTTGACTTGAACATTATGGTTGTGAAAAAAATAAAGGATTTTAAGCTCTAAAAATTGTGTAAATTATAACAAATTATCTAGACCGTCGATTTCACTTTAAAAATAAGTGTTCATAGATCCTCAAGGTCTATACCATTTTTCGAGTTTCAAATTTTATTGTCGGTATTGGAAATTGATTTTAGAACTATCCTAGAGATTTTTGTTGCCAAAAGTACTTTCCGGACGAGGATTTGAGGTGAGGCTTCATTTTGTTTTCATAAAACCTAGGTCCTATATAAACCTCATTCATAAAATAATATCAATACAATCCGAACAATAGACATGTATTTTTCAAATCTCTTATCAGATGCTATCCAAACAGTAGACACCCATATTCTAGGATATACCAATTCCATGAGAGACATCTCCCTAAGAGACCTATATCTAGGTAACCAAACAGGGACTTAGGTAACATGGTAGTCCCAACAACAAAGAATTTAGGAGAAATAGGAGGTCAAACGATCAACTAGCTTTGGTTTTGACTTCCGATGTTTCTTCTGGGAGAAGAACCCACTAGCTTGATTAACAGGCCTCAAAGTTTTAAGGCTCTACAATGCAGATGGATTTTAAAATGAAATTTAGGGCACCATGAAGTTCAAGACTAGAGAGTTTACTAGATATTTGAACCAAAAAGAGCGTGTTGACTTCTTTGATACTAATACACCAGAACGGTAACCATAAGAATACTCTTTAGCCTTGGCATTAATTTACCATCCAAGGAGTCACTAGCTGTATGTCAAGAATCTATTCTTCAATGGTGAACTAGATGTTGAGTTTTAAATACTTGAAGGCTTTATCCTGCCTACACACAAGAACATTAAGTGTCCATACCTTTGCAGTCATTATATGTACTAAAGCCATTACTGATAATGGCCTGAGAAGCAATGGAAGTTATGGGTTCACAGTTAGTGAGTCTGATAGTTGTGTCGATGCCAGAGTCTTAGATGCTATTGTGGTGATTATTTCTAGCATGTGGATAACATTCTCATAATTGGGATGGACTTCATTGTTGAGACTAAAAACCTACTATCTTTTAAATGGGATTACCTGATGTTATCCTTCGGATCGAGATGGTGAGAAATGTCGACTAATCTAGGTTCACCAAAAATTATGTCGGTCCTCCACAAAATGCTTTGGACCAAATTGTATTGAAATTGTGTCGGACTGACTTCTATATTTAAGTTGTGCCAGTTCGGTGGATTTTGTGCCTGTTCGGCATATTATGTGCTTGGCCGGCCTAGAGAGACAGTGGAAGACGAGGGTTAAAATGAGGACATTTTTGTCAAAAAAAAAAAAAAGTCGCCTTGTTTGCTTGGTAGGGTGGTGAAAGGAAAAACAAAGTTACTTTTTCAGGATTATAGTTTGGTCCTATGGAGTTTCTTATTTTTTTCATTCTAGTTTTACCATCAGCGAATGTCTGAGCGATATTTATTTATTTATTTATTTATATTTGTGTGGTTCCTAGGATTAGACCGATTTTTTTTTTTATGACATAATATTGGAAACATCAAAACACCTGTACTTCAATCTTTTCTTACATATAGACTGATCTGGTAGTGGAAAGGTCAAACTCTATTTTTTAAAAAAATTAAAAAAAATAAAAAATAAAAAAATTGGAGTGATCCAATAAGCTTGACTGCCCTATCTTCGTGAAGTAGCCGCCCCAAACTTTGTAGCCTCGTATCATATACGATGACTATGATGATGATATGTGATTATATCATGTATATATATGATGATGATGATTGGAATAAAACAAAATCGCATGGTCCAAAATTTCACCCACACTATCAATTTTGGGGTGAAGAGGCAGTCCAATGTTTTGAGTGTCGGATAGAGTATGAACTTTTAAACGTTAAACCAGTCTATATTTAAAAAAGGGAAAAGTTTATATAGAGCCGAGGCTCTAAACAATCAAATTAGAGCCTATCTCAAAAAATTTACAAGAAAAAGGTTGTTTTGATGCAAAATATCTTCAAATTGATCATCTCGACATCAAGATGCATGGATATAAGAAAAAAAATAGATTTCAAGTTTTGGAAATAGTATATTTTGTAAACCATTTTTGGACCGTCAATTTTTAAGATTTTCATGTCGATCTACACTATTTTTTAAGCTTTAAACTTTATAAATAAAGATGAAAATATATTTTAAGGCTATCACAAAGACTTTCAGTATTGACACCGCATTTCTTAACACTATTTGAATGTAGGCTCTAATTTGATTGTTTAAAGCCTAGGCTCTATACAAACCGCATCCTTTAAAAACAGATCATAGTATGGAGCTGTTCGAATTTTTGGATATCCAAGTGCCTCAAAAGTGGGTCCAAATTTTTGGATATCTAACTGCCTCAATTGGATCGTTCTAATATCTGGGGCAGCCCAACCAGAAAAATAAAAATAAAAAAATACAAAACATCTAACTGGGGGCCAAAACTAAAGTTAAAAAAATGGTGTGGTTTGTGTAAGGTTAAGGACCTAAACAATCAAAGTAAGGTGACATTTAAGTGGTATTAAAATATGTCATTTCAATATTGAAAATCATTATGATGGTATGAAAAATTATTTTCATCTCTAATTATAAAATTTAAAGCTTCAAAAATAGTATGTATCAAGCAAATTTATGATCACTTGACAATCTTGCAAATTGACAATCTCGCTAATGCTTTACCAGATATATTATTTCCAAGACTTGAAATCCATACATTTTTTTAAAATCAATGTATCTTAAGATCGAGATGATCAGATTTGAGAGGTCTACAACATTGAAATAAGTCCTTTTTTAGATGACTTCGTTTGATTGTTGAGGGCCTCAACCTTATATAAAGGTTTTCCTTAAAAATCCAAGAAAAAGAGCCACCACCACATAAAATTACGGAAATTATATATGAAATCGCAATTCCTATCAAATTTTCTGGTCCACACGTAATTTTTCCTTCTAAATTTATGAATCCATGAAGGATTGGCTGAATCAATGGGCTAACTGAACGATAGAAGCCCCTATATGTTGCAGTTATTTTTCCTTCCAAATTTATGAATCCACAGAGGATTGGCTTTAATCAATGGCCTGAAAGAACAAAGAAGCCCCCATATGTGTTAGCCGTTGTTTTGGACTATGACAACTTCTATGCTCCCTCTCCGCTTGATTCCTGGCCGAGGATTTGTGCTATCACCAAAAATAAACAGGGTTTTCCAAAGTAAATAAGCAGACCATCAGCAATCGTGGGAAACCACCCATTCATAGGCCTGATCATCAAATTATTGAATACACATTCATTAGCAGTTATATTTAGGACAACATTCTAAATTATTTTACACAAAAAAACAAAATAAATTACAAACAAGGATTTCTACAAGAGAAATTAGCTCATGTCCTAATGGTTAGGCACAAAGAAATCCACACAAGCAAGTCACGCCAACTGTTCGTTTTCCTTGTCAAGGACATGCTCAGCCTTGAGCCATGCTCATTAATGGATCCGAAATCCGATCTTCTTGATATTAAGGTGCTTGTCTGTTTAAGGATGAGGAACATCATGCATCACAACCATCTGTTCCCAACACAAATCTGGATGCTGAGGCGAGTCCAGCTCGTGTTTCTCGGCAAGTCATCCGGGATTTTGGCCCCAGCCTCTTTCTTAGTGTCCCTTTGACTGCTAGGAAACTAAAGTTCCACCAAAATATTTCTTAAAGCAATCCTCTTCTCGACAATATGCATAGACAACTTTGTATACTTCAATAAGGAGCTTCGGAAATCGACTAGCAAAGTAGTTGTAGAATCCATTAGGGATTGGTCCAAGAAGTTCCTGAAATATTCATTAAAATAAGGTTCAGAATCCAGAAGGGATCTAATAACTTAGAGAAGAAAGAAAATAACAGTTCAGTGGTTTTACTTTGGCATTTGGAAGAATATCAAGGTGAAGCGTGCAAAACCAGCAATTAGAATGTTTCAAATGACAAGTTTTTCACACTACACAATGCTCTCCCACATCCAATAGACCCTATGATGCGGCCAAAGCCATATACATAGGCTTGATAAAGGGCCGAGCTGGCCCTGGGCTTTCAAGCCGAGCCCAGTTTCAGCAGTTTCAGGTCATAGAATGAGGCTCATGGGCCCCAAAATTTCCAAGCCTGTGCTTCATCAGAAAATACAGTAAATTTGTAAAAAATACATAGATATATATTTTAACTATTATATACTAGTAAAGATTTACATAAGGAGTCAACCTTATAATGTAGTAGTGAGGCACACCTCAAAAACCTACCAAAACAGATTGTTTTGACACTGCAAAACCCTCCAATTCATCATCTTGGCCTCGAGATGTATGGGTATGAACAAAAAATTGATTTCCAATCTCTAAAATCGTACAACTTGTAGTGCATTATATCCACCACCCATTTTCAAGATTTTCAAGTGTTTATAGACTACTTGATCTGGATAAAAGCAATTTTCCAGGCCATTACAAAGTTTTTCTTTACCAAAATTACATCTTTTAGAGACTGGTACGGCCTGGCATGAACTTCATGGGTCCATCCAGGTTCGGGCCCCAATGATTTGGCTTTAAACAAGGACCAAAACCATATTATACCGGGCCCAACCAAGCCAGACCAAGACTAAGTCTGACCTGGCCCGAGCCCACCTAAGCCTAGCCATTAATGGGCTTATGAATATCCACACTTAACTTTATGCATTAAATAGAATCACAATTAGCGATGACATTGTCTGGCCATTCCTCTCATTATATATTCTAGATTTATTTTAGTTCAATTTTGGCTACCAAAATATAGGTGCAAACTACAAATCAAAATCATTCAATCAATGGACAAACTGTTCTTAGTCGTACGGTTTGGTCACCTGGCTTAATGGTTAAGATGTAGTAGGTGGCTGCAGCCCTACATCCCAGGTTCAAATCCTAATGCTACACAATCCAAAGACATACAAACACGACATGCATGCAGATGAAGATGAACAAACACATATACTTTTTGTTTCAAGGATAGTGGAAGTATACATTGTTTTTGAGGTAGAGTGCAGAATTTGGACAACTTCATTTTCAACTTTTGATACTTTAAGAGATGTTATGCAAGATTATGAACCCATAATCGCATTTTGTTGCATTGACCAAGGAAATATTTGGGCATTTTTACAGTCATCTCCTTTTCTTTTCTTTTTGAGGTACAAATGTACTCATTAATTCGTGAAAAACTAATAAACATTTGACTCTAAAAAAGTCCAGTCCATTCAAACTATTGGTGCACTATTGTTATGACTATACATAATTTGGTATCCAATATGTAGATAACTCTTATATGCTTTATATATTTCTCAACAAATATATATGTTTTCATTACAAACACCAAGATTCATCATCATCATTTTAGCCTTTTCTCAATTCCCAATTAATTGGGGTTGGCTACATGAATCCTGGTTCTCCATTCTGCTCTATTAAAGGCCATATCCTCAATGAGGCCATAAGTCCCTATATCTTTTCGGACTACTTCCAACCACCTCCTTTTGGCCTACCCCTTGCCCTTTTGAGTCCTTCCACTTGAACTAACTCGCACTTCCGAACAGATGTTGTGCTTGGTCGGCACCACACATGACCAATGCACCTAAATCTACTCTCTCTCATTTTATCACCTATTGGTGCCACGCCTAAATTCTCTTGAATAGA